TCATTGTTGTCTTTTTTGTGGACACGATTGTGGATTTGAGTTCATTGTGGAGTCAGAGGCAGTTAAGTCCTTGGTTGAGGTGTAGTCAGAGGCAGCATCGTTCACAATTGTTTCCAGCATCGAGGTCAGTATTTCAGGAGACATGGATTTGCCCGCAGATCTGGTTGTAACACCCGGTCTGGTCTTAGTAGAAGTATGGCTAGTCATTGTTTTAATGGTCCTGATAAGGAACAAGGGTAAAAACCATATAAAAAAATTATATCTCACTTTGGTTGAGAGCTATGAAACATCTCATATGCAGCATCTCATCCTCTTCTTCTCCTACTGCAGATGAGGTTTTGTCTCTTTAGAGGATGTGGGCTTCTCTCAAAGTCCTCATTCCTCTTGGTTGTGACCAATTGCATTATCTTCAGTGGGTTTTTGATTGACTAATGGAGCCTTGTTCAGGATCTTTTAGATTCACCTCTTACCCTTCCTTCTCACTTACAGAATGACTTTTGACTGGTGGTTGGATCAGAACAATACTACCATGGGTGTTCCTCTTCCTCATCTGGATTGTCACCTTTTTATGGATGCTTCTCTTTCCAGTTGGGAAGTATATCTTGACACTCAAGAGGTTTCCTGGTAATGGACTTTTTCTGAATTTTCTCTCTGTAGCAATATCTTGGTACTTCTTGCTGTTCATTTGGTAGTACTTCACTTACGTTGGGCTCTTCAGGGTCAGGTGGTGATGGGTTACTCCAACAATTCTTAGTTTCCTGTCCAGTTCGTCTTTCCTCCGTCACAGTTTACCAGTCAGTGTAATTGATATACGTTCTGCTTTTGGTCTGTTATCAGAGATTATAGTCTTTTCCATCGTACTGTTCCTCATGTAATATCCTTTTTGACTTGGATTTTTGACAGGGGCCTCTTGGTTTCTTCTGTTGTGGGCTATAGGGTGGTCTGCAACTTTTTGGTTTACTGAATTTGCTTCTGTGTTCCAGTCACCCATATTGTCCATCTAATTACACACCTAATCCATAACCTGTAATTCCAGCCTTCCTTCCTTCCCTCCCTGATTGGAACCTCAATGTGGTCCTTTATGCTCTAACCCATATACCATTTCAATCTCTATCTTCATGTTTGTTATGTCACCTTTTTTCGAAGTCCCTGTTTCAGTGGATGCTGTTCAGATGTGTTTGCGATTGATGTTTGCCTCATTTTGTTTCATATTTCCTATGTTCTCCTTTTTCCTGATCATTTCTTTATGGCCAAAACTTCAGCTACTTGAGAAGGTAATTCTGTTTTTACCCCAATTTCTCTTCTCATTCATATCCCACCTTTATGACCATTTCGATCCTGACTGCCTCATTTGCCTACTCAGGGCTCTCCGAATGGTATATGACATGCACTACTCTCCACCTTGGTTCATGTGTCCATTTGTTTATTCCATTTAATCCTAATCTTTCTCGTGACCTTTCTCCCATTATCCTTACAGGTTGGATTTGCCAGTTAATTTGCCTGGTGTATTCTTCCCTTTCTCTGGATGACTGTCCCTTTTTTCATGTTTCTTCCCATCAAATCCATCACCTGACCACATCCCTGGCTGCACATTTCTGTCTTCCCTTGGAGGACATCATCAGTGCTGGTATGTGGACCACTCCACATATATTTGTCTCACAACCTCCATCATATGGCTGTTTCCTACTCTATGGGTTTCTGCTTACCTCCTGTCACCATTTTTTGCTCCTCTGTTTCTCTAGAGTGGTAAGTACTCCATTAATTTTATTTTTCTTTACAGGGAGACTTTCTTTCATGTTTGGATAATGCTCTGTGGCAAGTGTTGCTTGACCAGGTATACTTAATCTTAAATCTGCACTGTAAGACTTGTGACCATATAGCATGCTCAATGACTGTGATGTTGAGGCTCTTCCTACAGCGGACTTGATGTAAAATTCCAGATGCCGGCAGGTGTTAGTTGAGTGACTCTGTCAATTGTATCCTCTGTGCATCAATATGCATTGTATACAATATAGTAACATGTCACAAGGTCATGTTACACACTCAGTTGAGATGGGGTGTTCTGCAGGACTGCTCGTAGATATACCTTACAGTCTTTTGCTTCATAAATATGTTTGTCCTGGACTGTAAACTCAAGGACTATCATGACTAAAACAGACAGGAATTACTGACTCTCTCTGATGATCTGTGACATTGAGGCTGTTCCTACTGCAGTCCTGATGTACAATTCCAGATGTCACCAGGTATTGGTTGATATACTTCATGAACATGATCGCTCTGCTTTTCCAAATGGAGTATGTTCTTAGATTTTGAGATGGTGGACCATGGAGGCTTGTCCTGCTAAATGTGCACAATGCCATTTAGTACTCCTCCATATATTGCAGTGGATCTGGTGTTGGTTGTAGCTGGATAAGGCACGACTTCCCACATGTGTAAGGCTGGGTACCCTCTTCCAACTGCAGACTGGACAAAAAATTCCCAGTGCCACCAGGTTTCCAACCAGAGAGGAACACCCACCTGGGCTCTCCTCCTTCCTACCATTTGCTCGATGTTGGTTTCTGGTGGATCTGATGTTGGTTGTGTTAGAGGTAGGCACATGCGGAAGAGGTTTTTTTTTTTGTATGAAAGCTCCTCTTCCATGCTGCTTCCTGTTTTTGGGGTGAATGATAGTGGACTTCATTTAAGTCCTGTTCTAATTTTTTTCCATTTTTTTAGTACTCTTTAATGATGTCTTCATTTAATATATATTTTTTTACTTATAGCTATTCAGTAGATCAGTAATAAAACACATTAGCAAAATATGAAGATCTAGAAACCAACAAGAAATTGTGTTCAGTATCTTAAAACTAGCACAAAGTGTGTGTGGTGCATCTAAAAAGTTCTTTAACTATGGGTAGCATTTTGAAATTTTTACAAACCAAGACAAAAAAGTATGCAACAAAAAGAACACAAAATATGTGGAATATCTATAAACTAATATAAACTATCTGTGACATCTGGGAACCTAAACAAAATGTTTTAATATCTCGAAACCAGCACAAAATATCTCTATTTTCTAAAAACCAGCGCAAAATAGTTACATCTATAAACTAGCACAAAACATGTACAGCATCCAAAAACTGATACAAAACATTTGCAGCATCTAAAATTGAGTGCAAAAATCAGCAAAAAAAAATGCCAGTATGTGTAAACCAACATGAAATATCTACTTACAAATAAGCACAAAGTACGTAGAGCATTTAGAAACCACCGAATAATGACTGAACTATCTAGATATTAGTACAAAATGTATTTGGCTTATAAAAGTCAGAACAAAATGGATAAAGTACATGTATCTAGTTTCTAACATGAAATGTTTACAACAACTATGATGTTCTTAGTGGTTGGGTAAAAAAAATACTTATCGAGATGAATCTTTGTCATGAAGTTTTAGATTAGGTAAGGAAAATTTGATATTTTACCAATGTCTTGGAAAAGGTTTGAATGTATACAATTTGTATACTTATATGAAGGTATATTCTTAAAATACATGAATTATTATTTTATATATATGAATAGAATCATAGTATGGGTCGATTGAATAAATAGGAGAATAAGGGGTGATGGGAAGACTCAGAATTAATTTGTGTTGTATTTTGTTATGGAAAAATACTTCAAGGTCAGAGAATAGCTAGGGAATTTTGTTTTGTCTTGAATATGCATCTAGAAATATGTATGAACTATCCATACATCAGTAGAGACTATGCAAGGTATCTAGTATGTTTGTGTACATTTTCAAAAAGTCAGCATATATGTATGCAATATCTGAAAATTAGATTAGCATATAATAAATGTAAGTGTTCACCCTTCTGTAAGTCCTTTATTTGATTTTAACTTTTTAAGCATATTTTTTGTGCTTTTTTGGATTAATGTATTGAGGTTTTTTGTACTTTTTTATTTTCAGAAGTAAAGAAACATATTTCACAGAATGTTTTAATTTAGTATTTCAGTATAATAAATTTGAAATTAGTACTGTCTAAGTACTTACCAAAACAAATGGTTTTAATAAATAATAAAAAGTTAAGATCTTAAAATAATCTCTTAAAGATACCCTACTATAGTTATTTTTATTCCATTGTTTTAGTCCCCCGGTGGTACAGCAGTATGTTATTAGACTTATGATGCTGAAATCTGGAGTTCGATTCCCCGTGGTGGACACAGCTGTTAGCCCAAAGTGGCTTAACCCTAAAAACAAACATTTACTTTCATATTAATTTTGCTACAAACTGGATTTCAATACCCATGGTGGGCAGAATACAAATAGCCCATTATATAGCTTTGTGCTTAACTTCAAACAGACAAATCTGTGGTTTTAACAAGTAATATAAATTAAAATCTTAAAATGACCTCTTTAAAGATACCCTACTGTAGTAATTCTCTTTCTCTTAGGAAATTGTTTGTCCATCACCATCTGCTATTTCTAAAAAGTGCAAATTTTCTGTTTTTGATTTTATTTTATTTTGCTTATTCCATAAAAAAATAATTTGTTAATCATCTTTTAAAGAGAAAAGTTTGATAAAATGCTTTCATCCACATAAACTGAACCCCTGTCAAAACATAATAATAACTTGGTAAAACAGGAAAACCCTTTTCTGAAATCATACTAAGAAGTGTGTTTATTAATTATTATCTTTCAAAATAATTTTCTAATTAATTTTTGACAATATATATATATTCCAACACCTAGAATAACATTAGAAGTCAGGTTAGTAGTTCTATACTTTCCTGGATGATCTTTGAACTCTTTCTTTTGTAAAAAGATTAGTTAATATCTATAAAAACCAACATTCAAAACAATTATGTTTGGAAAACACAAAATCTATGACCAGTGTATCTTGTATGTAGTAAACACATAATCATATGAACCAGAGTTTGATAAGATTTTTAATTTGTTTATATTATCTTTTTGCTCTTTTGTGTAGTACTTTTGGATTTTGATTCTTTTGTTATTTTATAATTAGCTTATAGGTCTTGGTAAGGTTTCTCTACAAGACCTGTTTTGGAGTTTTCAAGATCCTATTGTTATGGAAGATCTTCAGCATAAAAAGGTAAGATTCAATCTATGGATTTACTTGTAATTCCTCTTCTTCTTGCAGTATTTACGTAAAATAAAATTTTGATAGTTGGCTTATATGTTTAATATGTTATATGTTTATACCTCTCTTATAGTTATGAAAAGTAGTTTAAAGCAAACTTTCTTTAATGGTTTAGACTAGAAAAGTTTCCCTTTCAATTATATAAATAGTAAACATGTTTAAATTACAATAGTAACAAATGTTCCGAGGCTATGTTTAAAATATACAAGTTCACTATGTGATACAAAGTTAATAAGTGGTGATAACAGGGGAACATCTAAATAAAAAAATGCTTTATGAAACAACTATCAAATACAATCAGAAACTTAATTTTAAAGCATAGTGTTTCTTTCTTGTGCCTGTATCTTACATTCAGTGTCAATAATGTTAACAGTAATTTTATAGTGTTGGTATTTAATGAGGATTACATATACTTATAATATCTGATAATGAATAGTAAAGCCATGGCAACAATTGTTGAAGCCTTGTACTGTCAGTTTCAGTTTGTGTTTTAGTGAATTAGTGTCTAAATAAATATAAACAACATTTTGGTGTTATGAGGTCATTTATTTCTAGTATAGAGACACTATTAAGTTTAAGCCTTTAAATACAAAAGTACTTAACCATTCAGCATGAAGAAAAGCTGCAACGTATACTTAGAAATTTAAGAAAACAAAAAAATTATCTCTGATAACACTTTAATGAATTCTATCCTTCACGCTCATCACCTGGTATTATGTTTGCCTTCCCAAAATTCACAAACACACAATTCCCAAATCAGACCTATCCTTTACAATATCAACAACTTTACTTACAAACTTGCCAACTTCCTAGTTCCTATTTTAAACCCCATAGGGACAAATGTTTATCTTGTCAAAGGTTCCTTTTCTTTTACATGTGCAATTTCTCAATTTCTGGACATTGACCAATAACAGCAAGCTCTGACATTGAACCTCTTTAGAAGAAATGATAAAAATATATCTTATATTTCCTAGTAATGATAATTTGAAGGTTGGATTAAACAAAGAGTAACTTGCACAACTATTAAACCTAGCTTTAAAAGAAAACCGTCTTTAACGGTCAATTGTATGACCAGATAGATGGTGTTACTATGGGTTCACCACTACGACCGTCACACCTGACCTGACACTCCTCCTTTACAAAAGGTGTGTAGCTGGTATGTTATTACTCTTCCTTAACCATGAACACATTGACAAATTCTTCCACCTCTTAAATTCTCAACACCCTAATATAAAATTCACTTATAAAATTGAAACTCAAAACAAACTTTCTTTTCTTGACGTTCAAAAATAAAGCAACGAATTTAGCACCCCTGTTTACAGAAAGAAAACTTTTACTGGTTTGCTCATATTGTGTGAAAGTTTTCTGTCAAAATCATTCAAACTAAGCTTAGTCTTAACTCTTCATCACAGGGCCTACTTTGGATTACATCTCTACTCATAGAGAAATAACTTTCCTTCAGAACACCTTAAGAAAAAATGGATATCCTTCACCTGTACTAGAAGACTTAGCTTGTAATTTTCTAACTAAGAAATGAACTCCAACAAATAATATCCAATCATGTTCTAAATTTCCTCTAACACTTGTTATTCCTTACCTTGGAAAACAAAATCTTATTGTCAAGACGCAACTCAACAAGCTTTTCAGGTCTTTTCACACCCAGATGTATTGACTTCAAATCATCACTTTGTGTCAGTGGCTTTTTTAGAACTTTTATGTTCAAACCTTTTATTACAATGATCATGAACTGTTGATAAAAGAAAGTCTACATATTGTGAATGAAAATCAGTAAAAATTCAAACTCATTCTTCCTTGTTTTGTTCAACTGGCTTTTTTTTTCTTCAATTAAATGTTTTATAATAACCTAACACTACTCATTGATTTTTATGATAGTAATTATACAAAAGACTGTTCAATTCCCTATTTTCACCGACTGAAGATGGAATATGTGTAATTCCAAATATTCATTAAAGATATTAACATTTGTTGCCATGGTTCTACAATTCATTACCAGGTTATTTTTTCCCACCAAATATATCAAATATTCTCTGTATTAGATTCCTTTGAAAGGAGTGGATGGACGTGTATCCATCGTCAATCCATTATCAGGGGTTACCAAAGGAGAAATATACATGTTTCTGGCAGTGGGAACTTTGGAGCAGGTAATACTAAAAGGTTTTGTGTTATCTCTTTCAGCACGGGCTTGGTCCCCGTGACCGACCTCTTAACCTTTTTGTGCTTGTTGTAGTTTTCATGCTATAACTTTTAAGTTAGTAAGCATATGTTCATGAATTTGGCAGATTATCATTAAATTACCAAGGCTTTCATATGCAAAATATAAAATTTTTTCATTAAGTCTCAAGGTTTGTCAAGCAATGTTTTTCTCACACCTTTTTTTTTTCTT